TGGTGTCATTGGTGTCATTGGTGTCATTGGTGTCATTGGTGTCATTGGTGTCATTGGTGTCATTGGTGTCATTGGTGTCATTCGTGTCATTGGTGTCATTGGTGTCATTGGTGTCATTGGTGGTGGTGTCATTGTCATTGTCATTGTCATTATATAGCCATGTATAAGTGGGAAAGAACCCACCGGGATTTCTTTTGATCTGTTCTTTTCGAGGTCCTGCTTCCTCGTTGGCTCTTTTGCCTACTTGGCTACCACAATTGAGCCGATGGCCTGGTCCAGCTTTTCTCGAGGGATCTGCAAGTCCCCACAAATGCTTTGCACCTTAAGCAATCTAAGAAATGCCAAAACTAACAATGTTAGTGGTATCTTTTGGACAAGTTGTCAGGAGCTTTGCCCACATTTGCCCCTCTTGCTTGCAAGATGCGCGCACGCCGTCAAATGCCACAGCTCGCAATGTTTCTTTCCTAACCTGGCAGGCGCGGGCATTCAGCAATCACAAAGACTTCATGACTCATGGGGCAATCTCTGCAAAGGGCCTGCCATTGTAGTGGCAACATGGAAAACAAATCCAACTGACAAAGTAGCACATCCCTAACTACAGTAACCAAACTGACATGGTCAGAAAGGTGTGGCACTTAGTGGTTCGCTACAGTCACGCCAAGTTGCCATAAAGCTAACTTTTTGCCCCTTCCTGAGAGCAAACAAGCTTCGGATAATTTAAAAGTAGACCACAGAAACAGTGTGCACTCCCCAGTGTGCAATCTGGCCGTAGAGTCAGAAAAGGAGAGGCGTTCGTGCAACATGTCTGCGGCTGGACAACAAGCCATCTAGTAGGTGGATCTGATCTACCATACCCAACAGCAATCTTACTCTAGAGCGGAACCAAATGGAACGTTCTTCCTTCGCGAACGTCCATGACGCCAACGATTGAACCCAGTTGCTCTGCTAAACGAGCTCCAAAATATCCACCCACTGCGCCACAGCCGAAGAAAAGCCATCTTAGCGGGCCTGGGTAGTAAATCGGTTGCTGTAGATGTTTAGGTCTTTTTGAGGATACTGCCCAATTGAAACAAAAGGGCGGCTCAAACAAGCACAGTGTCCTCTCAAGAAATACCTGAGGCCAGGACTGCCCTCTGCCATTGCTGCTTCGTTCTAGGTGCTAAAAAGGCCGGACTTTGGGCTGAACACAGCATCACCATTCTTGAGTTCAAGGGGCCCACAAACTAAGCTCTCCCTCGCTGCAATCCATGGCTTGAATGGAGCAACGGGTTCAGTCTGCATCCGGTGCTTCTCAGGGCATCAGCACAAGCATCACTCGGGGCCGGGCTGGGTAAAATTGCCTGGGCAGGGCAGATGAAACAACAGCCAAGCACCAACCAGAGGGGCTTCGTACAAACCATAAGGTCTGTCAGGATGCAAGGCGTGCAAGTCCGCATCTTTTCATGCACCCTTGTAACACAGAGAGCCTGGCTCACTGGCACTTAAAGGCGAAAATGATGGCTACAAATGTACAAATAAGAGAGATGGATTGTGGAAAACTGTGCAGAGTATCTTGGCGTACCCCCTGTCAATCCCCAAGCCACTTCGATCAAAGGTAGTGCTCACCATCTCTCATGTGCCTCATGCGGTCCTGCGTAGCTCTTTCTTTTAGAGCGCGCGTAACACCAGCTTGACGAGGCGCGCGGCATCTCTGATGCATTTTATTGAGTAGCATCTCAATGATTGGCAGGTCAAGGTCTTCCGTGCTGCCATCCCACCCTCTGCTTCCAAGCTTCAAACCCTTACAGGTTGGGAGCTCCAGCAGTCAGCCTCAGTGTTGCGATGACTGTGGGCGCTCTGAGTTGGACCTCTTCAAGAGTATTTCACCCAAGAAGCTTCACAAGAAAGCTGGGAAAGGTAAAGTCCGGCAGCTTGTTCCAGTAGAAGTTCATGCTCTCTGAGACCTACATGTTCAACCATCGCATCCGAGTCACTACTTTGTGCCAGCTGCATGACTCACTTGTATATTACATCATAAATATATATATATATACCCCGCACCTGTCTTCCAAAGAGATTTTATGAGATTTTAATGGATTGGTTCTGCGGCAAAAACATCACAGGACCCTTTGCCACTCCTTCCACTACATCTTTGCACGCGATGCATGGCAAGACTCTTCAAATCAGATCATGAAATCGTAACATAACGCATACTGACCAGGCCAAAGATGCTGGTGGGTGTTTTGCAAAAAGCTCTTCCGGAACCTGAAAATGGCTGCGAAAGGCAAAGGTCATCTTCTCTCTGTGAGAATCTTGCCATCATGTAGCCTCCCTTAATGAATTCTGGACCACCTCTTAGTTGTTACCCTCACGGCTAACAAAGACAGGCGACCTTCCAAAGGTCATAGTACTGCAAGAAGGACTTGAAGAGGTAGGATGCCATGAACCTTAGGTAGCAACGCATGATCCAACAAGCCGAACGAGTGAGTACAAATTCTGTCGGTCTCATCACAATGTTGGAGGCACAATTTTGGTGAATACATCCCGAAAAATCCCAAGTCTGGCCTTCTCCATAAAAGGACTAGGACTATAATACTATGAGACTATGCGCACCTTTCAAGCCCCAATCTTGCACTTACAAATCAAAAATAAGTGCAAAACCGTGTTCCCCTCATTACAACCTTTTGAGCCGCATACACACTATGGGCCCTCCCCACTTCCCACACGCTTTAGATTTAGATCGGGTGCTGGAGAGCTCCAAGAGACTTCACTGAAGTAAAAGGAGGGCTGCGCACCCCCCGCTCATCTACGATCCCATAGCCCGAAGCCATCACTGCAGGGATAAGCACCTGCAAGCAATCCAAAGAGAGATGGAGTCATCATGGGCTGCATCGCTTCAACCGCACTTTTTGATGCTAAAACTGAGTGTCAGGCCCAAAACACCACAGGGCCCTTGGCACTGAAGGGTGTGAAACTGTCAAATGGTGAAACAACAAAGCCTGTCTCGACTGAGCAATGATGGTAAGAAGCTCCGACAAAAGCTCGTATTCTGTATGATATGCACCGTCACAGGCTTTTGACGTTACAATATTCTTGTTGACGCCACAGCCGACTGTGGCCCCTATCTGCCTGCAGTATGCTACAGGATTCGCGCATGGACTGCGGGTTGAGAAAGAAATAACTATGCTATAACCACTGCAATTAAATGCTCCTGACACAAGGCGTCTCACCTCCCTATGCCTTGTCCCTGGCCAGAACCATCGTTCGGAGATTTACTTTCATGGTGAGACTGTAATCTGCCCCTAGCCCCTCAGCCTCGTTGGAACTTATACCGAAACAAGCCATCTCTCCCACTGTGAAATCAGCGCCGAGGCCAGGAACTTTGCACCTGATCCCTCTGCAGATCTCCTCAGGCTCAACATCCCCTCGGTACCAGGCATTCACATGCTCCTGGATCCAATCTTCCACGACAGGCTGATGCTTGCGCTTTACCCATTGGTAGAGTTTGGGCAAGCGCTCAGGGGCTGTAGTGTCTTTTAAACAGAATTGTAGGGCACGGACACAATAGCCTTGAACCCCTGTGCGCAGGTCCAGCAAGAATGAGATGTTGTCGATGTCACTGAACCCGGCTAGGAGATTGGGCGAAGGATCCCAATGACTCTTCTGGGAAGTGCTAGTGCTTGAACAGCTGACAGAGGACCTAGACCTGGCTGTGTTTCCACCTGTTTTGCCCCTGCTAGGCATGGCAAGGGTGGCGTTCTCTGGAATGCTGATCATGTCATACAGAGGCTCTGGAGGTCCTTGCGTAGCAATTCCAATCAGGCATTGTGGGTGCTGGACCAGGGAATCAGGCAGGTTCACAAGGAAAATCTGTGCATCAAAAAGTGTGCCTTTGCTGGTCTGCATTTGGACGTGCAAAGATGACGGGGCGTCCGAATGGTGCGATGCAGTGGCAAAGTCTGTGAATCGCCCCTGGTCCTCCAGAGTGATGAAGTCCAACAACGGCAACATGGATCCTTGAGGTTCCTCGGTTGTCTCAGCTGCTTTCTCTACCTGCACCTGCAGGAGTTCCAAAATGCGGTGCGATGGCCTCATGATTTCCCAATTGTGCGTGAGCTGCTCACAGCAGTCACACACGACTGACAAAAGCCGACGCGCTGCCAACAGAACCTGTTGTGTCTCCTTGATGTCTGTTTCCCTCTTCTGAATTTGGTCCTGTAAATCCGTGGCCGCCTGCTCTTGCTTGCACAATGCATCATTGACTTCTGCCAGGGTGAAGAACATGCAAAGGGCTGAGAGGCCTTCGTTAACGATGACCAAGAGACATCCCACAAGGGCATCAGGCCCATAGCCCGGAGCATCTGCCCGGAGATGATGAACCACGACTGACAATGGAATGCAAGCAATTCGGACGACTATGGTGAACAGTGGATCTGCTGTGAATAAGCCATGGGTCGCCCGAGACACGGCGCAGGCTGGCAAAAACTCCTTGGGGACATCGATTTGCGCCAGCACGGAAGACACGTTGAAGAGGATTGTGACAAGCCTTGCTTCCCATTTCGACATCTGGGCCCCAGGTCTGCAGGTCCATCGTAGACCTGCGAGGAAGGCAAAACAACACCACATCTGGAGATCTTGGCAGAGGGGTCGCACAAAATAGTGGGGGAAACACACTCGCATTGAAGAGACCATCACAAAATACATCTCGGAAACGGCCGTGACAATGGCTGCCCAAGCTTGCATCGACTCACGACGTGACTCCTGCATGCGACTCGGAGACTCGGTCGCACCAAAAATGACGCTCCATCTGCTGTTGCATGCGACTAGCAGGTTGGGGGTGCCGATGGAGAGCACAATTCCAACATAAATGCAAACAGCTGTCACGATAAAAGAGAAATCATCCATGGTCGGGCCCGCCAAGAAAAAAAGGCTAGAAAAGCCACTCGCTGGAGCCCTGAAGGCAGGCGAAAATCTAATGCACGAGCAAGGATTGACGGATTTCCAGAGATGAAACACAATCAAACCAACCGACACAATAGTGCAGCAATTTAAGTAGCAAAACACCCTAGGTGCCCCAGCAACAAAGCCAAGCCTTTCCACTGAACTGCAGCATAGAGCGATCACGCGCTAGTGCGGCCAATGTGCGCCCCACAAACAATGGTGTTTCGGCCTCAGGGTTGGGATGGTTTACTGATCAACCAACTGACACACTGATGTATGTGGACACACAATGGAGCAGGAAACTTGTAAGAGAGAGAGAGAGAGAGAGCTCGGATTATAGTGAAGGATGTGAAAGGTCATTTTCTTAGCTTCATTTGGCTAGTTCCGTTCGATGTTTCTGTTGGTGCTTTTAAGTTCTCGTGGACAAGGAGCAACTCCAACTATGGGAGCCATGCCTGCGTGCCAATTTTGCTGCAGCTGCTCGAGGGATGCAACTACTTATTCGGTGTACGGACCGCCGGTGCGAACTATCAATTCACCATCACAACAGCTGAGTAGTGATTTTTGGGGGGTGCTTGGAGCTTAATTACAGCCTACGCATAGCCGACGCCATTCTGAAGGTTGCCTACGCAGGAGCTTTGCTCTAAGTGGAGCCTGAACGGGGACACCAAGAACAAAGTTCTTTTGCAATGGAAGCCACCAGGCCAAGCCGACCAGCTGTGACGGCCCACTACTAGCTGCCAATCACACCACCAAGGCACTTGGGCCTTAACCAGCCAGGGTTACACACAGGCCTACACGGGGCCTACGCTCAGCCTACGCGGAGGCCAGGAACAAGAAAAAGCCCTTTGTAAACAACCGACCCTACGTAAACAACCTATGTAAGTGGCTCCAGCTACAGCCTGCGCAAGCCTACGCCAATCCGCCAGTATCAGAAAAGCAGCCTACGCATTGAAGGAGTGACCTCTTCATCTTCTTTTCATCATCTCCAGCAGAAAATCGCTACTCAGCTATCGCTTGGCCCAATCTCAGGATGGTTTGAAATAGGATTGAGGAGGTTAATAACGATAACCTTTCCCTGATCGGCACTGTAAGTAAAAGAACATAAAAGAACCACACCGTTCGGCTTCGCGACTTGCATATGTTCAGAAGCACCTAAATTGGACTGGTTGAGGTTGAGGGGTGAGAATCAAAGGGGGCAGCTAGCCATGCAGGGCTGTCGCTTCCAGCCGAGTGACCAATGGAGTGTTGAACATCTCCCCGAAATCTGCTTGCCTTAGCATAGGTGGCCACAGCAATGACAGCCCAAGAGGACGAGAGAGCCTACTCGCTGGATTTGTTCGGCCCATGTCATGTCGACCTCAGACCCTTCAGCGTGCTTTCCTGGAGGTTCCGTCACGGAATCCCGAGCTACAGCCTTGTACTTGTACTGTTCTGTGTCTAGCATGGGCAATCGCAACTACTCAACTGTCCTGAGATCAATGCTCAGGGCTTAGGCCGGCACGGAACGCCTGGTGCAAGACCACGGCGTGGTTGCAACCGCTCAAATGGAATGGCCCCATCTTGGAGCTTCCTCAAACGAATGATCCACCACGGCAACGTGGCGAACCAATCCCACCAAAAAGGAACTAAGCAGCGGAACCTGTGGATCTTTGTCGGCTCCTACTCAGAAATCTTTAACAGGGCTGAGGCGGTTATGTCTTCCCTGACAAGAAGTTGATCACTGAAGTCATTCATAACACGCAAGAAGTGATTCGTCAGGATTTCTGTTTGTCTTGTTGGCCGTCTCCGAAGCAAAGCTGATGGTCAATGGTCTCCAAGTTTCTCAGTTTGAACGAGCCCAGGCCACACAGAAACCATTGTGATCGATTTTGTTTCCAGCTCTATTGCCATATCAGCAGCCATTCTGTCCATTGCTGCTTTTCCAATTCCATAAGCGACGTCGACAATGTAGCCTCCGGTGATGCGTATGGGCCCAGGAAATTTACGCAAATCCGTGCCCCATCCGTGATCTTCCCAAAAAAGAAAACGATCACCATCTGCTCGAGAACTTGTGCCGTTCAAGCAACTTAATCCTCCGAAGGAACCAACATTGACTATCAGGCCCGGCTTCATGCCAGACATCAGAGCTGCTCCATAGCTACTCGCCACGTAGTGAGACCGCAGGCCTACTTTGTTTATAGCGTCCCAAGCTTCAGGGCCTCGAAGCAACCATGCGCCCGTCCCACGGCAAATGTGCGTCTGGGACCAAATCTAGGGGATTTACATGTTCTAGAGCTCAGCTGTGCATGGACCACTCTGGACCCAAGACCCCGTGATGTCAGCCACTCTCCCACTGCCTTTTTGCCAGAATGGCTCCCCGACATGCTTCTCCATGTAGCTGACGCCGCTGAAGGCATTATTCACCAGCACGGAAATGTGGCCGTGCTTTTTGGTAATCTGCCATTCTGTGACCAGAGGAGTTGCTCATTGCACAGCCCACTGCAGTTTTTGCAATCACTCTGACTGAAACTGCTACTCTGGCCTCATTCAGAAAGCCCTGCACCTTCCGGTCATCCGTGTTATCCACAGCCAAAGGAATGCATTCACCACCCGCCTCACACATTCCCATCTGCCCACACCACCTTTCACATGAGGCGATCGCCCTTTCAAGACTAATTGCCTAACAATACACTATCTCAGAATCGAAGCTTGAAAATGTCAAACGCACATCAATTGAAGAATGACTGACTGGTGCGCTTGCGCCTCAGTCACCAGTTTGCAGGTCTCTTCCAAGGATCCTTCCGTATCCGTCTTGTTGGTGTCAGGCGGGCTGCTCTTTTTCAAGCTCCTACCTGCCGATGCAACACTGGCCGCAATAACAACCTTCTCTTCACTGTCTTTTACCTGCCTCCTCCGGCAATGCATAATGATCATAATGCAAAACCCCGAAGGTTCAGATTTGCATCTTGTTGGCTTCCTCGCTGGTTGGCTCCCAGCTTCAAAGGGCCAAGGTACGAGAGAGAACGCGTGGAGAGTTTATATACGTTGCATGACCCAAAACATATTCTTAGGAGTAAAGAAGTTATTCAGCATCTATCTGCTTCATATCCAAGAATTTCTCCCAGCACCTTGAGAATTAAATATTAGAAACGCCGCCAATATGCCCCCTGGCCTGTGATGTACACCGTTGCTCCAGCCTCTCCCAATGCGACGGCAATTCCTTTACCAATTCCTCTGCTGCCTCCAGTCACCACAGCCACCTGAGCCAGGCAACCAACTGGGCCGGCATTGCATGTGATTGCCATACCCATACTGGAGCACACCTCAAGTTCAACCCAGAAGTCAAAGCTGCAACAAGTTTGTCGAGCACGCCTTCCCCTTGAGATCGGGCTGCAGATTCTCAGGTCTGAAGCGCGATCTGAAGAGCCAGCTGACAACCTGGGCGTAATCACCACAACCCTTTGTGCAGCAACGGACAGACTCACACTGCCCTGATTGATCTTGCTTATGGTCTTGCTTTGCCCCCTTTGCCGCATAGGCCTGGCACTGCGCGCAAAGCTTTACGGGGTAAGTGTTTTTCATGATCTCCAATTTGCTGGCTGAATTTGGCTTCTTTCTCTCTGGAGCGTGGCCCATTCATGCAAGATGCTGCTGCAATTAGCAGCGCAGAAACCACCCCTCGTTGGAAGGTCATGGCGTTGCACGGCTGGGTCCCCTGAACCAAGCCGCCTTGACATGCTGAGAGCCGAAACTCTGAAGGCTAAGACCTCACAGCTCCTCGTAATGGTGAATAGAAACACGCAAGAAGTCGCTTCTGGTGTGTGAGCATAGCACAAAGCATCACAGCACAAAGCATCACAAGCAGCTGCAAGCATCACAGAAAATGCCCTTCATGGTGGAGTGGGGACTGGCCCCTGTTCTCTTCAGATAGGTGGCTACATATACGATGGTTTATCAAAAGTGATGTCTTGTAAAGTGCTTCAGCATCTTGGCCATCGCAAAAACAATGTAGCTCCAAGCATGGCACACTGTTCGAGGAAAAAAGCGCATCATCCGCAGCGTGGGTTACGTCAAATCTGCCGCCCTTTTGACCTTGTCGGCACCCGGGAGCTTCAAAGAATCCCGAGCCAGAACAGAATCACTGGACATACTTCGCCCCAGGCCACCGAAACATGCGTATATATCTATAATCAAAACATCCTATTTTCAAACCAAGAGGAGGATGATCTGGTGGCACTCAAGCCGGCTCTCCAAAGCTGCTGTAGGCAGGGGTGGCACGCTACCAGGTCAAGTTTCTGTCTCCCAAAGTGCTTGGAGCGTCAGAAGCACCACCGCCCCCTGAGGAGATGCAGTGTCAAAGGTTGGCGCCCGATCTGGATCGTTGCTGAGGGGGTTGTCTTGCACCACGGAGGTCTCACGCATCCAAAGCACGTGCCGCCCAGCGTGGTCCAGACCACGCCTAAAGAATCGCGGCTGCAACGGCTGCGGCAACCTGTTCCGCACCTGACAAGAAGCATGGAGCGTGACAATCCCGTGTGGCTCGGAAATCGGGCATTCACCCCTCCCGAAAGCCTTCCAAAACACAGTATGACAGGCAGTCAAGGGACCCTGCTCAGAAAGGTGCACTTGGTCTGTCGCGTAGGCCATTGGTTTCAACTCCAAATCCACGAGAGTAGCATCTTTGATCGATCGCCTGAAGTTGCCGACTGCAAGGACATCTGTATTTCATGGCCATCAAGCTTATCTCGGCGCTCTAGGGCCTATAGGGCCCAGCTATGCCTAGGTTGTTCAAGCACATCAGTCCTGATACTGGCCGAGGTGCACCACCTTTCTCAGTGAGGGATACACATGGGTCTTCAAGTTTTCTTGGTGGCGCGCTTTGGCCTGAGCGTCTGTGCGAGCGCGCTATGTAACCGAGAGTATCTAAGGAAATCTGGAGGATAAACCACCTGCCAAGTTGCGCCAGGAGGTTGGACAATCACAAACTTTGGATACTTGCTCGCTGCTGCGATGCCTCCCCTCAGTTCAGGCAAATCTTGTCCTTACTGATGTTGATGTTGGCAGCTGCTACAAAAATGCTTAGGCTCCTTCCATGGGGATTCATAAGTTGGTTTTGCGCAGCAAGGTGTATTTTGTGATGTTGCTTCGTGATTTCAGGCAAAGCTGCAAGCTGAAAGTATGCATCTTCCTAAAAATCTGGGAACCCAATCATTAGTGCAAGCGCTATCCTGCGTCCATATGTAGTAGCTTCCTGTACCTAGTAGCTACCTAGCTACTACCTCCTCTACGGCCTACCCCCCAAAAAAGACCTGAAGCCGTAGGTATGACCAAGCAAGTTTCAAACAGATTGTCCCCAGAGCTCGCCTTCGCAAATCTTTCACCAAGGCGGCAATGGCCTCTCCCACTCTTTCAGGCTCGCCATGGATGTGCCCAGCATCATTCGTACCTAACATCACCTGAGGAACAAAGGGCATCGCTACTAGAAGTCTGACGCTATTGATTGGCAAATGTTTACAAGAAGAGTCGCGTGTGGGAGGTAATTTACACAAAAAGAAACTTTGAAGATCAACACAGCCATGGTTGGTCGTTTGGCATTGTGTTTGTTTGAGTCTTCGTGGTGTCTTTGAATGGCATTGTGCCATGCCTCTGAGGCACCACGTGAACGTGTGCATGGAAGTGAGTGGCATCGACATAGCGCCGTTCTTTCACATAGCCTGTGAGCTTCAGGAGGGTCTCAAACACATTCAAACAATTTCAAATTTGAAACTTCACCAGAGTTCCCCAGTCGCATCTTTCCAAAGTGACAGTCCAAAAATGCCATGGTGTATGTACATGCTTGAGACCAGTGAACCATAGCACAATGACTTGACTTGCGGCAGTCTTCTACTACGCAAGTGGGCCCCAATTGAATAACTAAAACCATAGTTCGGAGTGACGCCTTCAACGTGGTTTCAATGTTTGAGTGCGCTGTTTGCCCTTTCTTAGGGCAAGTATAGAGTTGTTGTTTTTCAAATTCTCCAATTCGCCCCAAGTCTTGGAGCATGGGCTGCTGCTTTCGTGCAGTCGGCTGCTTGCTGGAACGACACGCAAGACGGACAGCCGAATGGCAAGGAGCATTTTTTCCCAGGCGTGTTGACGGCGACAGCCCCGTTGACTCCAAAGGACTTCACCAAGAAGGCTCCAATGCCAGCCTGAGCGGTTACCATTGGGTCTCTACTTTTGGACCCACCGCTCAGCTGTGTGCTGAAAAGGTGGTAGTGACAGTGACTGGCAGTGACAAGCAACTTGCCCATCCAGCTTGGCCTGGAGCCGTGCTGGATAGGCGCCATCCCTCCTTGGCACCAAGCTCAGAAAAGGAGCTTAAGTACAATACAAATAATGGTGATTGGTGAGCGAAGTTGCACAAGGACCACCCAAGACTGCTTGAAACATGCAAAACCTAAAACAAGAACTGGCCATAGCTGAAAAGGCTGAAGTTGTCGGCGCCGAGCTTCCCCAGCCCTCCTCCCACCGTATTGGAGTCCCCCAGGCAAGCGATCCGCACCTGGTGCGAAGAACCTCTGCTGGCTGGACGCTTCATGGCGAAGGTTCCGTGGTTCCGCAAGCGGGCCCGAGCCAGCCCCAGGTCTATGACTGAAAGTCGTCCACGAATTCAGGTCCTTTTCACCTCTCTTTAGAATTCTTGAATTGCCGTTAATCCATGCATACGCCAAAGGTGCAGTAACACAGAGACAAAGAGATGTATATTATATATATATATTGTTTTTTGTGCTAGCTTCTTTCGAGCCTGGATGACTCGGGGACCTGCTTTGTTTGAGTTCATTGAGAAGAAGCGTCAATTGGCACCAAATGTCCACCTTCAGCCGTTCGCTCTGCGCTTTTCACTCACTGCTCCTTTTTGTCAGTATCTCTCACGGGTGTTGTTCGCATGCAGTGGTGCAGCTATAGCCTCATCAGAATTGTTTGTGTTGAAAGACGCATGTGACTCTGTCGGCTGGAATGCTGGTCCAAGATCGGCGGATAGTTGCAGGTAGTCTCTCAATACCTGTGCCATCTTTCAAAAAAGACTGTTGAAGCCCCAAAAACATTTCACAAGCTTGGGGTAAATGACCACTGGCCTGTCAACTCTGTCACTCTTCTTCACCGGCTTTAGGCTGCTCTTTGGGCTGTTCCTCAGGCTGCTCCTTGGGTTCCTCTTTCATTGGCGCCTGGAATGCTTAGCAATATTGACGCCTCTGTACACACTTCCATCAGTCATTTCCACTTCTGCGCGCCTGGCTCTCCGGGAGCTTTTCAGCAGGTTTCTGGCTAGCTCCTCTTCCGTCGCTAGACTCCCCGAGGAGACATTGATACATCATGGTATCAAGGCAGTGTCGGGGGAGTAACAATATCCATCAACAGGTGACAGTCAACAAGTGAAAGTCAACATATATATATATATATAGACCCTCCGCAGTTTCAAAACGATTTGTTTGGACCGATATTGGTCAAAAACGATTTCTTGGTACGCCTACCTTCCCCCCCAAAAGAAAACTGTTTTATCAATGATTATTGTCGGCATCGACATCGCTAATTGTTTGGTCACAAGAGAAAACAAGAGAAGAGCAGGACAAGAGGAGGACAGCAGGACAAGAGGGACAACAGGAGGACAAGACCCGGCCACAGAGCCCGGCCACAGAGTTCAGGGGTACGGCCAGTCAGTTGTGGCCAGCTCTCTTTTTCTAAGATAGATAGAACCCAACAGTAAGCTGTTTGGGGAAAAGCGTACCTATGACCTATGAGGTCGCTCTGCCAACGAACAGAATGCCAAATGCAAAAAGTATTGCCAAACAAGCAATGCAACATGATTATGATGGGATAGGGGGACTGCATCAGAGTGCACAACAAGGAGTGTAAATCAGCTCCATGACATGGTTGCAGGATCCCAGGCGAGAAGTCGTGATCAAAATCTGGTTCCAAGATCCCAGAGTTCCAGGCAATCAAGGGCTTGCTCCAAGAGAAGCAAGAACCCCTATACCTTCCAGCAAAACAGGCGAGACACATAAAAATTCAAAAAACATTCAGATCAGTAGTCAAACAGTCAGCTCCCTTCTTTTCCTCACTTCTGCGCAGGGAGCTGATGTACCTTAGCTCTGTCGGGCATTAGAAGCACTCTTCCAATTTACGTTGGTAAGTTTATATACAGGTAGTAGGAGGTGCACTCCATACACCGGCAGTGGAGAGAACTTTCAATTCCCTCTTGTAGTCAGTATACAACCGGAGGATAGAACAGAATCCCGAGAGTTGCCCCACCTGGCGCCGAACATGGGGCAGGGGTGACTCTGGCGAGCCCCCCCCAGAAAAAAGGCATCCGAACATCAACCTGTTTCAGGGGCTGGGTGGGTGGGGATAAGAAAAACTCACCTGAAGCCGTTTTGGGTCACTTGGGCATGAACGGCAGCGGCAGCGCATGACATGCAACATGTTACATGCTCAAGTTCAGAACAACTGACATGAATGATTCTGTGTCCACCACACCTGCCCTAGAAGCACAAGCCACTACAACATTCAGATCAGTAGTCAAACAGTCAGCTCCCTTCTTTTCCTCCCTTCCGCGCAGGGAGCTGATGTACCTTCGCCCTGTCGGGCATTAGAAGCACTCTTCCAATTTACGTTGTTAAGTTCACCTAGAGCCACTAGGAGGTGCACTCCATATACCGGCAGGGGAGAGAACTTTCAACTCCCAATGCACTACACCCCAACTTGTTACTAGAAGAATGCAAAGCTTTGAAAGGCAAGGACCACAGAATGATAGGCACTCTGCTGACATGGACCGAGAAGTTGTGGCGACACCACCACGAATCGCGAAGACCATTGCGAGAGATGCCATCACTCCAGTCAGCCGAACTGGGGACCCATTCGAAGTAAAGGCTACGCGCTATTTGAGGCAGCTATATTATCGACCCACCAGACGATATACGCACCTCGAAAAAGGTCCGGAAAGGTTAACAGCCCTTGGACCACGGCCAACAACTCAAGCTGTGAGATTTTCACCGGGGTATGGTCCCATAACGCAAACACTTTGGAGTCTATGCAAGTGACTGCACCAACTCTTGCAAGATCGTGGCTGCTCACGAGGAAACCGGCTTTGCCCTGTTGGGGCTGACCTTGGGAGGCGCCACTAGCGACGACCAACCTCAAGGGATGGTGCATAACGGATAATGGCTTCAACAAGACCGAAAACGGAAAGCAGCTCATTATCAATGGAACTCTATAGCATATTGACGATGTTTGAAGGCATTCAGCCCGGCTCGTGCTCTGCGACCGAAAGCTCCTTGGTCCAAGAAGGTCAGGCAAGTACAACTTACACTTGCCTGGCCAGGCGAAAGGCACTGAGCGCGACGGGCCGTGGACACCGGGGAACGAACTTTCTCAATCAACCGATCTCGGATCCACAGGCGGACGGTGGAGTCTGCCCGAAGGCCAGCGAGGTCGTGGACCAAACCTAGGAAGTTCGACTGGGACGCAGGTTGCTGCTGCTTCTTGTCTGCGAAGGGGTAGCCTACAAGGGCACAGACACACTGCACTGAGCGCTGGCAAGCGGAAGCAGTAGTTTGCCAATCTTGGACGGTTAAATCATCAAAATAGAAAGACCCTAAGGCTCGCAGGATACGACGTATCACTGGCTGCAAGAAGAAGGAACACCGATTCAAACATGTGACTGCAAGTGGCAACCCAATAAAAGTCCAAAGTATCGCCTCAGACGAACTGACTCCTCTCCTGGCACCCCATAAGCGACAATGCATGCCCACGTGTGATCAGGGTGCATGGGGGTCTTGCGGTAGGCTTGAGGGAGGTCTTCACCAAAACTGACAATATCATCAGGCCACGCTGGGGGAGGACACGCAATGGCGGAATGCAAACACTACTCTCGGTAGAAGCCGGGCTTGGAAACCCCAAGCCACAGCTACACCATGGTGAGGTCGACTGGAGTGAGCATGTCACTCAGGCGCTGCTGCACTTTGGAGCGAGACATAGGTCCTGAGATCTCCCTCAGGGTGCCAAGCTGGTAGCAAATAACGAAGTGCTCAGAGGGCAAGGCCATGACTGCAGGCAAGAAAGCACCGCTAAAGCCGAAGGGCTCCCACACCCCTTCCTTGGGGGCTGACCACTTGAAGCCAGCGCGACGAGGTCGTTGCTTACCCCTCAAGCACTTGAAGAACAGGGTCTTGTCAGTGGCGCGGATGAGCCGGGAACGTTGTAGGTGCGTGAACAGAGCGAAATGGACGCTTGCATGGCAGTTTCCAATCGGGCTAACATCGCCGGCTGGGCGACTGGCGCCTGGCGGGCTCCCAGCCTCAAGGGTGATTTGGACGCTGCACGCATCTGCATGGCCAAGGTCAAATCACCTTTAACGCGAAGGTTCTTGACCAAGAGCTGGAGGGCAGGCAACGCTCTCGAAGGAGCAGAACACGTCTGGGTCAACCGGGCATAGTCGACGGGGGAGAGGTTGGCCACGTCCAGCACCCCATCACGGCACCAATCAAGCAGTTCCACCCATGTCGTTTGGACCTTCTTCAATGTCTCGGGCCCGTGGGAGGCCAAAAGCTTCTGGACCAAGGGTTCAACAGTGGCACGGCTCTTAGCCAAATCACATCTTTGTAGGTGCTGGCCTGGAAGAACACCGCCCCAAGGTAGTCTTGAACTCTTGATTGCGGCGTGCTAGCAGCGACCGGCCGCTTCTGTGGGAGCCGTACAACTCGTGGGGGAGGGTGGAAAGCAGGAGCACTCGACAGACGCACCGCCGGCAGCCCCAACGCCATGAGCGAAGGAGACTGCACCCCACCATGCTGGGCGATCACCACGCGGACATCGCCGCTCGACCCCTCACCCACACGAGCTCGACAGACACTCGAGCCAAGCATGGGCAACATCCAAGCCACCCTCCCCAACTGCCTCGGCAAAGTCGAGGAAGTAGAAGGCGAAATCCGCATCCTCCTGCAGGCCATTGCGCTCCCACTCGCTCCCTGAAACTCTGCGCTGCCATAGGCAGAAAAATGGGACCCCTGTCCACTCCAGGAAAAGAAAAATTCACCTGAAGCCGTTTTGGGTCACTTGAGCATGAGCGGCAGCGGCAGCGCATGACATGCAACATGTTGCATGCTCAAGTTCAGAACAACTGACATGAATGATTCAGTGTCCACCACAGCTGCCCTAGAAGCACAAGCCACTACCAAAAAAGAATGCGGGCCGGTGGAGTCAGTTCATTGATCTTATTTGGACTGTTTGCTGTGTCTTTCTTTCTTTCTTCCTTCCTTCCTTCCTTCCTTCGTTCCTTCCTTCCTTCCTTCCTTTCTTTCTTTCTTTCTTTCTTTCTTTCTTTCTGTGTTGTTTCATCCCTGCGTTCCGTGGAATCAGGAAAACTGCAAACACACCAGCAAAGGAGAAGATATAAGCAAGTAATAAGCAAGTGTCGGTAGCAACCGGAATCGTACTGTCCACACGCTCTTTTCACTGCGAAAGCGAGCACGGTATAGCTCAAGGGCCCTAGGAGCCAAACGGCGGCAGACACAACATAGTGTGACAACCTGGCTCAACAGAATGAGATCCTACCTCAAATTCACACTCAACCTGTTCTACAGGTGTCACACGGCTATACATTGAAACTCTTGTGTCTTCCTAAGGCATTGGAGAAATCTACTTCTGCTTCTGTACAGTGTAGTGGCACTCCTTCAGCACTCGAAGTAGCAGATCTGGTTTCATGGACTTCGTCAGACAGTCCGACACCATCGTACTAGTGGCAATCCAGATCAACTTGTCTCCTCCATTCTCGAAAGCAATCCATGTTGGTCTTCCTTCTTGCCACAAATTCTCATGGATTCCTTGCAACTCGATACCAAGGCGCTTGTCACTCACCTTGGCCAGGACTTCCTGATTGAGGTGGTCAGAAAGCGAACGGCAATCAGTCATTGCCAAATGCGGAATGCATTCTCGGGCATCATCTTCCCATGTCTTCAGACTGCGAATCTTACCCTGAATCTCCGCAATCACACCTCTCAGCTTGTCACCTGTCTCGAGTCCGTTCTGGAGGGAATACGTTTCGGCCTGGAGAGTGCTGCGGCAGACTCTCTTAATTGTCGTGGATCCAAAGACAATGGCATCACCTTATAGGTGGTCGTCTTGTCATCCTTGATCTCCTTGAGATCACCCAGAAAATGGATCCTGCCCTGTTGCGACTTGTAGTTCTTCTCGTTGGAGAAGGAGGCATCTGTGACCGTGATCACACCAACTTCACTCCATTGGAGATGAGCCGCAGGAAAACACAATGCCACATCG